AGTTATTCTCATCTTTCTCTGATTTGCTATGTGTTCTGACAAATACACCTAAATTCTTTAAGCCAGCACTCTAATTATCCATTTAATCAGATAGTTTCCTTTTCTGAATTGATCTTTCCAAACATTTTCAAACTCTTACTGTTTTTTTGTTTGTTTTTTAATCTAATGAGTTTTTTTCTATCTTTTGTGACACTGCATGAACCATAGGATTCATTGATTTGAAGTACTCTATTGTTCATCCTGGCTATTCTCTCAGATTTACATCACTTGCAAATTAAAACGTGTTTGTAATTTTTAACAAAGATTATTTAATGCTGGAATGTCTACATTTTGGGCATATTCCACTTGCCTCTTTGCTTGTAAGGCATATTCTGCTCTCACAGAAATTCCAATAAGATCCTGCACTTCACTTACATACCTAGCTAGCAGACAGGCAGCCTGAAGCTTGCCCTTAAGAGGAAAAGGTCATGATGTTTTATTTTATAGCTAAGGATGAAAAATGAGTGTGCTGATATCATAATGGTAGGTAAAACAAATAGTTACACAACAAATACTTTAAGATTATACTTTTTAGACCTAAATAAATTAAAATAAATCTAAAAATTGGAGATTATATCATACAACTCAGAAAGCTTCTTAATGATCCCAACCTAAATCTTTCTCTAAATGCCTTTCAATTCTATGAAATTTCAATTCTGTGAACCCTCATTTAACTCTTCTGCATTTGTATTGGTTGAAAAAGGAGCATTGCTACTAAAAAACAATTTTCTGCACCACTAAAAACAACTAAGAAAAACTGAGAAATGTTTCATTGTTTTGTGTGCATTCAACTGAATTAGTGATTTTATTCTCTTGTATTCAACCAAATCCAACTTGTATAAGGAGGTTAAGGTTACACTAAATACTCTCACGAACTGCCAATTTTTGTAAAGTATACAAAGTGTGGTCCCAAATAGACCAGTGGTTCTCAAAGAGTAATCTCCAGACCACCAACATCAGCATCTCCTAGAGACTTATAAGAAATGCACATTCCTAGGCCCAGACCTACCAAATCCAGAAATCTGGGGTTATAGCCTAGAGTATAAAATCTGTATTTATAATGAGCCTTCTAGGTGATTCTGATGCATGTTAAAGTTTGAGAACCACAGCACTGGCCTTTTAGTAAAGGGTTTTACAGTAAGCTAACAACCTTGTGCTCTTACTCAGAAGTGGAATTTCCTTCTATACATACATTCTCACAAATAAATTATTCCCATATTAAAGAAAACTAGAAGGTAAACTTAACATATATTTCTGGTTTTGATTAGTACAATGTAACTGAAAATGAGATTTTATCACTTCATTATGATAAAAGGTATTAACTTATTTGGCCAAAATAAAAAAAAAAAATAGGAACCCACATATATTGGGCACTTATTGTGTGCCAGACACTGTTCTAATTACTTTATACATATTTACTCATGTAATCCTCACTACAGTCCTATAATATAGGTACTATGATTATCCCTAATTTGAGATGAGGACACTAAAACACAGAAATACAAACAACTTGCCCAAGTTCACACAGAAAATAAGGGGAAGAGGAGAAATATGAATCCAGACTGTCTAACTCTAATGATTACATCCTTATTTTCAGAATTTGGAAAGGTAATTCCTAAAGTATTCTCAGGATATGAAATATATAGAATGAACTCACAGGCCTTGAATTATTGTATTCTTCAGTTCAGGCTGCCATAGAAGAATACCATAGACTAGGTGGCTTAAACAACAGAAATTTATTTTCTCACAGTTCTGGAAATTGGAAGTCCAAGATCAGGGTGCCAGCATTGTTGATTGTGGTGAAGGCCTTCTTCCTGGCTTACAGATGGCCACTTTCTCACCATGTGCTCACACGGTCTTTTGTCACTTGGTGGGCATGGCAAGGAGAGCGAGCTCTCCAGTTTTTCCTCTCCCCTAATCCCATCATAATTCCTCATCGTACCCTTGTGATCACATCTAACCCTAATAACCTCCCAAGGTCGCCATCCCCAAATATTATCACATTGGAGGTTGGGGCTTCAACACATGAATTTGGGGGGGACAGAAACATTCACTCCACAACAATTTTTCAGTAAACTATTTCAGAGAAGTGTGAGAAAGAAGTTATATGTTACTTTCACAGATGTATTGTCATCACTGCTGATTGATATTCCCATAGTTTGGGCTCCTTACATATTAGCTTTTCAGGTTTCACATAAAGGAATTTAAGATGTATGCAGGAAGTACTTAAATGAACTAGAGGAATTAATTATTTCAGAAATTCTTATGTTAGTCCTTTTCAAATTGAAAAATCCCTTAATGATATAAGTAATAACTTCCCTAATTAAAAATTTATAAAAATTAAGATCTTCTTGAGACCAGCCTTAATATAACTCAGGAATGTAAAAAGTATGAAAGATATAGCAATACTTCTAGTATTAGTACTAGTACTGTGTTAGAAGAGACACAAAGTAAAATTTACCCCAGACTTCTTGACACTTCCTGTAAGCATAAACATTTTTAGTACATTTCTTACTGAATATTCATATGGAGGTAAATGGCACTATATTAGGGGAAAAAAATGAAACAAGTAATGCTATGACATATGAGATAAGAAACCAAAAGACTTACTGGCATAGGTATCAGTTGTATCATTTCAACTGGGAAAAGCAAAATGGGAATTGAATTGCTCACTATGTAGTTAATATAGAACAGCAGTTCTCAAACTTCTTGATCAGCAGATCCCAAAGAGCTTTTCTTTATATGATTTATGTCTATCAATATTACTCTATTTGAAATTAAAACAAGTATTTTTATTCATTTCTTTTAATAAATAGCAAACCTCTTATGTTAATATAACCTCTAATTTGTGAAAAATAACTATTTTCCACATTAAAGAATTAGTGAAGAGAGTGGTATTGCTTTACATTATTTCAAACCTTTTTTTTCTTTAGTTTCCATGCATAGCATTGAGCAAACCTCTTTAATACTTAGCGCAATAGAAGACTGCAGATCCTCATATCTCCTTTTGCATTCAGTTTTTTGTGATATGTTGTTTTGGTTGAAATACAATCATGGGTCACTTAAAGACAGGGATACATTCTGAGAAATACATTAGGCAATTTCATCGTTTTATTCAAAGTTTGATGCATGTTCCAGAAATAAGTAACAATACACAAGTTAGAGATAAACCTCACCTTTATACCTACACTCTGTCGATCTATCAGATTTTTCTTTACTCGAAAATAATGTATTCTGTAACTGTGCAAGAGATTTAATGTGGAGAAACTAAGCATCAATACTTTTCATTCTATTGTAATTATTTATTTATTTTGATATTTTAGTGAGAAAATATTAACTGTTTAATTCATCCCTGAAGGGAAAAGCAATGCTGTATTCCACAGATATGTCATTAAAAAAAACTATTACAGGGCCGGCCCGGTGGCGCACTGGATAGTGCGCCGCTTGGGAAGCGCGGCGGCGCTCCCGCCCGAGGGTTCGGATCCCACATACAGACCGGTTCCCGCTCACTGGCTGA